TATTTTTTATGCAAATAAAAAATTTTTTTTTTTTTTTTTTGACTTGTATTATAATGTATGTCAGGATGTTTCAGTTTGAATATGTACGCTGCAAGTTTTGGCTGTAAACTATGCACTGTATATTCCACGTTCTATAGCGGATTATTAAAAAGGCTTTGTATGTGGAAAAGCTTGGCATGATGCAGAGGAGAGGCTGCGTTTCTGGGTGTCAGTCCGTTACGCTCCGATCTCTTTGGAAAATCCATATCTGATGCACCTATAATGCCGGTCCATTTTGGAGATGTGATATTTCTTATTATATACAGTATTCCACTTCTATTTTGGCTGTGTTTAGTGCATATAAATAGAGCTCTGTGTTATATAGACACCATGTACAGTTCTGATCTCTGTTGTTTTTAAACTCGCGTCTCTAGTTTAGGTGCACTTTCCTGAAACCAGGCTGCAAAAATATACACGCACACGTCTTTTTCAGCATATTTTATTCAGTGACTTATTCATGTGATGCTATTTATTTATTATTTGTTGTATATTTATTTTGTTATTTATTCAAACATTTTTTGGCTCTGAGAAACTCTTTTCTGTTTGGAAGCGCATTTTGGATCATTTGCAATGACAAGCTTCTGCGTTCTTTAAAGTCATCATGAAATCAGAATTGATTCAGTTTACTTTCTTAATGCTTCTGGTCTTATATGATTCATCAATGCACATTATTCCAAAAAATTGTCTTCATTGTTTTTCATCTCTGAAACAACTTCAAAAATACATTTGACCTCTCAAGCATCTGCCAATTAATTCCTGATGCATTTTCTATCTTGCATTTCTCAAAAAGTGGGTGCAGTCTGAAGTACGTTGCATTTTGAGAATAAAATGAGCTTCATGTTGACCTTAAATGCAGAACCAAGATGAATTGTTGTGAAATGATTTTTTCGAGCAGAAGACAGATTGTTGTTTTACGAGTTTGCATTTTGCAAATATTTATTATGATTTATTGTACTATTTATTCTCTCATTCCCTCCTTCAAATGGAGACTGAACTGGCCTTTATCAGTGATTTCTTTTTCTTTCTCAATCTTCCTGTGAGTTCTGGAAAGAGCTAATAAAAACGAGATGACAGTGAACTTTAACCTCGTGATGCAGGAATCGGCCTCAGTCTTCCTTTTTCAGTGTTATATGATTTTATAGACACCTGTTGAGTTACTCGTGTGAGTTGATACGGCTCTCACTTCCCAACTGTATAAAGTCAGTAGATTTAGTGACCAGTCATAATTAAACACATAATAAAAGTATCTACTGTACAAATAGATCATCTTCATGTGCTGTTCTTGATTTTGAGTTTCCCTTTGTTTCTTGTCAGGGTTATTATCATAAACTACAACTGTTAAAATATTTTTGTTGAAATAAAGCTAAAATAATATATAAATGTTAGATGAAAAACTTGAAATTTGAAATGTTGCCAACTAACTAACCTGAAGCACTAAAATTACTAACTGGAAATAAAAACTAAAATTAAAACTGAAATAAAAATAAATGAATGCTAATTAGTAATATTGAAAAAAATCTAATAAAATGGCAAAAGCTCATAACAAAATTACTAAGAAATCATCTTAAAATGAAAACTAAAAAAATATAAAAATAAAAGCTAATTCAAAACATTAATGGAAACTTTAATAGTGTATAGAAATAGTAATATTAAAAAGAATAAAACTGATAAAAGCTCATAACAAAATAACTAAAAAAACTTGGAAATGAAAACCATAATAAACAAATAAAAAATAATTCAAAACATTAATGAAAACTATAAATATAGTGTATAAATAAATAAAATTGAAATAACGCTAAATTAATCTTAATATTTATAAAAGAACAAAAACAATAAAAAGCAACAAATAAAATGACTAATGAAAACAGGAAATGCACAAATAAAAGCTTATTCAAAACTATAATAGATTATTAATCAATCAATAAAACTTAAACTGAAATAAAAATAAATTAAACTTAAATAGTAATATCTTTAAACAAGAACGAAAAACAATAAAATAACAAAAGCAAAAATCAACTTGAAATGAAAACTGAAAATATAAAAATAAAAGCTAATTCAAAACATTAATGGAAACTTTAATAGTGTATAGAAATAGTAATATTAAAAAGAATAAAACTGATAAAAGCTCATAACAAAATAACTAAAAAAAACTTGAAATGAAAACCAATAATAAACAAATAAAAAATAATTCAAAACATTAATGAAAACTAAATATAGTGTATAAATAAATAAAATTGAAATAACGCTAAATGAATCTTAATATTTATAAAAGAACAAAAACAATAAAAAGCAACAAATAAAATGACTAATGAAAACAGGAAATGCACAAATAAAAGCTTATTCAAAACTATAATAGATTATTAATCAATCAATAAAACTTAAACTGAAATAAAAATAAATTAAACTTAAATAGTAATATCTTTAAACAAGAACGAAAAACAATAAAATAACAAAAGCAAAAATCAACTTGAAATGAAAACTGAAAATATAAAAATAAAAGCTAATTCAAAACATTAATGGAAACTTTAATAGTGTATAGAAATAGTAATATTAAAAAGAATAAAACTGATAAAAGCTCATAACAAAATAACTAAAAAAACTTGAAATGAAAACCAATAATAAACAAATAAAAAATAATTCAAAACATTAATGAAAACTATAAATATAGTGTATAAATAAATAAAATTGAAATAACGCTAAATGAATCTTAATATTTATAAAAGAACAAAAACAATAAAAAGCAACAAATAAAATGACTAATGAAAACAGGAAATGCACAAATAAAAGCTTATTCAAAACTATAATAGATTATTAATCAATCAATAAAACTTAAACTGAAATAAAAATAAATTAAACTTAAATAGTAATATCTTTAAAAAGAACGAAAAACAATAAAATAACAAAAGCAAAAATCAACTTGAAATGAAAACTGAAAATATAAAAGTCAAAACATGAATAAAAGCTATACTAATGTATACTTAACACGTTTCTAGTGCTTAGAACATGGCATATTGTACAGTGTTGATATGTATACGACATGCTGCAGAATTTGCAGTCATATGCTCCTCTGAGCACTATTTTTGGAGTGTCTCCAGCACTAGATGGCGTTCCTGAAGCTGTAGAAGACGCTCATGTGATCTGGATTTGCATCTGGAAGTTTCCTGCTCCTTCACAAACTCCAGCCGATCACCGGAAAATGGATCACTTGTATTTTTAGTCCTGTGGCGCTAAACCAGCAGCTCAAATGACTTGTCTAGCCATTAGTTGCATTAGTTGAACTGAACATTTCAAACTCCATAAAAGCTGCTAAAACCAACAGTTTGTTTATCAGTTTGTAAGTTTGGATGAAAGTGTGTAAATGAACTCATTTTAGTGGAAATTTGCGTTCTTTTTATCCTAGTAACTATTTATTAGTCTTGATATCTTTATATCTAGCTGCAGATGTTGTATAGTCAGTCCACCTTCATTATATTTTCACAGTTCACTACTGGTACTTCAGTCTGAAACCATCTGTACAATCGATGTACTTACATTAATTCATTTGACAGACACTTTCATCCAAAGCGACTTACATTGCATTAAAGGTATTCTAGTCTAGTTCATGCATTTGCTGGGAATCGAACCCGTGACCCTGACATTGCTAGCACTCTAGTGTTTGACCTCCAGGAATGCATTTTTTTTGCGAGGCGTTGTACACGATGCAGGAATGAAAGCACGTGTTCATGCAGTCAGGAGATAATGCAGAGCTGAAAGCAAACTGCTGACACACTATTTGAGGGTTTAATTAAACATCTGAGTGCTGTTTTACTGATACACATGCGCCATTACTCGATATTTCACTGTAATATAAGATACTGTTCATGAAGATGTCATGATAATGTTAGTGAGCAGCAGTTCCCTTTGAATCAGTGTTTTTTTGTCAATTTGTTGGTTTTCACTTTTAGTAATTTTGTTGTTTTTGTCACTTTTATTATTTTTTTTTAAAGTCTATATAGTTTTTTTTATTTTTATTTCTATTTTTTTTAATTTTTTTTAGTTTTACTAATATCAGTTGGCAGCTTTCTGAAATAAAATAACTTTAAGCTTTTTATTTCAGTTAACATTTATTTTGTTTCAAGTAACAATTAAAGTAAAACAATGTTTATGGTTTTATTGTTAGTTTTAATTAACGATAATAACCAAGCTTCCAAGACATCCTCAGAAGTAAAAACGATTCATAAAAGAAGATATATTTCTAGCTTTTCTACATTTGTTTGATTTTTACAGTCTATGTTTCCCTGTTGGTCTTCAGTGGTGTTTTATTTTATACCATTATAGTTTTCATTAATGTTTTAATTTAGTTTTTATATTTGAATTAAAGTTTTAATAATTTTGTTGTAGGTTTTTAGAATTTTTTAGCTTTTTTATGTTTTAAAATTTTACGTATATAATTTCATTTGATTCAAAGTAGATTATTGAAAATTATTGCTATTATTATTTCAGTCTGTCTACTTTAAATTGTGACTGTAATGCAGTACCTTAATTAATGTTTCTTTGTGAAGTTTACTAGATAATTCTAAGTAAAAAGAGAAAAATGGAGTGAAAAGTAAATCCTAAGCTAACTGTTTTTCAGTGTAACCCTGTTTGTATTTTAATTTCTCTGTCTGTTTTGTGTTCTGTGTGTTTGCAGATTCATAGCATATGTGTGTTTGGTCACCTGTTGTATCTTTGTGTTATCAGAAGGCTCGGTTTGTGCTGACTCGCTCTGACCTCCAGATTCCTCCGCTCCTGTGTCACGACAAGAGAATGTGTTTGTGAGAGAGGTTCAACCATCCAGGAAAGGAATGGTGCCGGCTTTGGGAAGGCCTTTGCCTTGGATTCCATTCTCATGCTAGGCCGTCCGTGAATAGACATTCTAGTCCCTTCTATAAATATCTGGATGGGAGGGGGCGTTGCATTAGTGTGGAAAGGGGAGTGTCGGCTGAGAACGTTCTTATAAATCTCAGCACTCCCAAACAGGACACAGCACTTGCCAGAAAACTTTCAGAGCAAGAACAAACTTCAGCCATGGCCGAGAGACGCATCCCCTTCACCTTTATGCACGGCCCATCCTGGGACCCATCCCGCGACTGGTCCCAGGGCAGCCGGCTCTTCGATCAGACCTTTGGGATGCCACGCTTCTCCGAAGAGATGCCCACATTTCCCAGCACATACTGGCCCGGATACATCCGGCCCTTCGGATTTCCAGAAATGGCCTCTTTAATGCAGAGCCCAGTGGCTCAGATGCCCATGTCGCCCTCCGCCTCCGTGATGCACCCCCTGAACTACAGCCGGGCCCTGTCCCGACAGATGAGCTCGGGAATGTCTGAGATAAAGCAGACGCCAGACTCCTGGAAGATCAGCCTGGATGTCAATCACTTCGCCCCAGAGGAGCTGACGGTGAAGACCAAAGATGGGGTGGTGGAGATCACCGGTGAGCACTTTGCTTCATAATTTCACCATTTAGCCCAAGAAGAGCGTCTCATAAAGTCACTCTTAAAAATGTCTGAATGTCATTGCATTAGATTCCAGAGTATAAAAGCAAGTGTCGTTTATTGTAAAGAAACATGCATTTCACAAATCTAAGCTTTGACATGCTAAAACAATAGATGCCAGTGTTGTGATTATTTAGTGGATGATGTTGCTAGTTAATGTGATTCTTTACACCTGCGTGAACTGATTTGTATTGAACATCCACTAAAAATCACCAAAACACCAGCTGATTCAAACACAATGAGTCTTTAAACGTGATGCAGAAAAGTGAACTTAGTGAAGGAAAAAGACCTTCTTGATTTAATGAATAACAATCCAAACTTTTGTGTGTGCTGATGATATAACATGTAAAAACTACTATAAAAGTTCATATTTCACTTTCAGGAAGGAACTTGGAGCTGATTTGTTTAGTTGTTTTGGAAGGGAAATGTCCAGGAAGTATAGAAGCCCATTTCTGCTACATAAGAAAAACAAAACTCTGTTGATAAATCATGGTTCTGACATAAAAATTGATATGAGATATAAAAAAAAAATCTAAATTATTATGATAAAATCAATGACAAAAAGTCAAAACTACAAAATGCGACTGTCATAATGATGACCTTTCATAATTGTAACTTTTTATGTAATTTTTTTTCATGATTTAATATCTCATAATTTTGACTTTTTAATGTCATAATTTCAACTTTCAAAATTATGACTTTGCATCATATAATTTTGTCATAATTGAGTTTTTATCACATAATTATGACTTAGTATCATAATTTTGACTGTCATAATTATGACTTATCATCACATTGACTTTTGTTATAATTGATTTTTTATCTCATAATTATGACTTTTTTGTCAATTATGACTTTTTATCTCAACTTTAATTAGAAAATATAATTTCTATAATATAATTAGTCATAATTGAGTTTTACCTCATAATTATGACTTAGTAGGTCATAATTTCAACTTTTAGAATCATAATTTTGAATCATATTTTACCTTAATCTCATAATTGCAACTTTTTGCCTCAGCTAATTACGGCTTGTGGTCATTTTGACTTTTTTTTTTATTTACTTAGTGTCTCATAATTTTGATATTTTGTCATAATTGTGACGTTTTATCTCATAATTATGATGTGCCAAAGCATGTTTTTTTTTCTTTTTGTGGAAGAAATGTTCTTCCCTAAGGAAGAGAGGTGGTCGAGTGTGAAGTAAACAAAGGGCTGCTGCTGGGAGAACTTTTATCTTCTGTAGGGTGGGAGCTGATTTTCCTGACAAATTCCTGAGATATTACATAACCAGAGCACAATGCAGTTAAAACAGCATGTGCAGAATGCAGAGGCCAGAGCTTGAGACTTAAGTTCTCATCTTTGTGCCATTCAAGTACAAACGTTTTGTATGTAACATCATATTTTTGCTGTCTAACATTTTTACTTTTATTTCATTTGGAAATGCATCAGATTTCAGAAGTGAAAGGTTGAGCTTGTGAAGTAATACACACTGGACTCCACTCTCTTAATGACTCTCACATCTCATCCGTCTCTGTGGCCGTCTGTCAGATGGCGAGGGTCCTCTGGGGTCTCAGTCGTGTTGTCTAAACAAACAGAGCTGGTGCTGGGTTACCCGGCCGGGTGTCAGCCAGAGTTTAGGGCTTTGAGGAACAGTCAAAGGACAGCGAGGCCAAACACACAATGCTGTGTTACACATTCAAGAAGTGGTTAAGAGAAGGAGCAGACACTCGTCACCAAACTGAGGAAACATGACATATTATAAGCAAAGCTCAGTTAACATGTGGTTAAACACTCCTGATTGTCTCAATCAACACTACATCAGAAACGTAACACTAATCAGATTTGCAAATATAATCAGATTTGTACATTTTCTGAATAATGTGAATGGTGATCGGTTGCCAAGATGTTGCTATCCAGTTGCTAATGAGATCTTATAGTGGTTTCGTATAAAAACAGACACAACCGAGAAAGCTGATATACAGCAAGGGTATGTGGATAGCAGCTTAGATCATTTGATCCCAGGAGATTTTGATGAGAAATGTCCATTTGCTCTCCTTTTAATGAAGCCTTTGCTGTTTTGAAGAATCGGAGAGATATTTCATGCGTGTTTTTTCTTTTCCACGTGTCTGTTCTCGTCTGATCTGCATGCAGGCAAACATGAGGAGCGGAAGGATGAACATGGCTTTGTGTCCAGATGTTTCACCAGGAAATACACGTAAGTACTGCACACTTGATAGGGAGGATCAAGAGTCACATTGTCCCGGGAACACTAAGAGGGTGGGACATGTTTGAGATAATGGCTCTTGACAGTGATTCATGCATCACATTGCATAATATTTCACATCTGTTTTTGAAAGAGCTGAAACTCTCTGCGGACCTGTGCTCATGTTTTGTGTTCATTTCTCTTGGAATTGCATTTTTATTTATTTATTTTATTGCATTAATTGCAAAATTTGTGTGAGTGGATGGCAGATACTTCAATGAAAAAAGTGCACTAAAATTGGCATAGAAACAATTTTCACTCAGAAGTTGCTGGTAAATTTCACAAGTAAGGAAATGGCCGGTAACACATTGAATTAGACAAGAAATTTTGGAGTAGAAAGACTGAAATAGTATTTATATATAACTGAAATAAAACTGAAATAGTGTATATATATATATATATATATATACACTATTTCAGTTTTATTTCAGTTATATATAAATACTATTTCAGTCTTTCTACTCCAAAATTTCTTGTCTAATTCAATGTGTTACCGGCCATTTCCTTACTTGTGAAATTTACCAGCAACTTCTGAGTGAAAATTGTTTCTATGCCAATTTTAGTGCACTTTTTTCATTGAAGTATCTGCCATCCACTCACACAAATTTTGCAATTAATGCAATAAAATAAATAAATAAAAATGCAATTCCAAGAGAAATGAACACAAAACATGAGCACAGGTCCGCAGAGAGTTTCAGCTCTTTCAAAAACAGATGTGAAATATTATGCAATGTGATGCATGAATCACTGTCAAGAGCCATTATCTCAAACATGTCCCACCCTCTTAGTGTTCCCGGGACAATGTGACTCTTGATCCTCCCTATCAAGTGTGCAGTACTTACGTGTATTTCCTGGTGAAACATCTGGATTCATTGCATGTGATGGCAGATACTTTAATGACAAAATTAGGTTTAGAAACAAATTTCACTCAGAAATTGCTAGTAAATGTTACAATTACAACAAAGAAAATTGAAAAACTGGAATAGTATTTTCTTGTAAAACAGACTCCAATAGTTTTTGTTTTATTTTAGTGTAGTAGTTTTTGACCTAAAGAAATATATAGTACAAATATAATATAAAATATTCCCTTGATAAGTCAAATCGATTTAAAACTTGATGTGACGCCTGTCTAAAGATGACCTTTTGTGACCTTTTGTGATGAGCTGTGATTTCCTGAATGCAAGGTGATTGTCTTGTGTTGCAGTCTGCCCTCTGGTGTCGACTCTGAGAAGATCACCTCCTCTCTGTCTCCTGAGGGTGTGCTGACCATTGAAGCTCATCTGCCCAAACCTGCCATCCAGGGCTCTGAAATCAACATCCCTGTCAACACAGGCAGCGCAGTGACTGCCAGCAGTACAAAGAAACCCTAAACACTACAACACACACACAGGCAGTTCACTGTGGTACTTTGAGTTTGTTTTCTTCAGCATGAACGCAAATGTTCCACATTAATGTCTTGATACTTCTATTCTTTGTAAACTGCAGGTAGGAGAGGAGGAAATGCCCTATTGCATTCCCATCTCATTTTTACATCACTCTTTTTCATCATTGTCTCTTCTCTTATCATCCTCTTCTCTTCTACTTGTAGTAAACAACAATGACTGTGTACACACCAATCTCTAGAAAACATGCTCATATTTCACCCCTAAATCAAAAATAAAAATAAAAATTATATTTTGCATAAAGACAATTAAGCCTGTTTTATGTGCTGTATATATATATATATATATATATATATATATATATAATGCATTGCAACATTATTTTCATGACAATGAAATATTTTACCCCATTACTGAAATATGTATTATTTACATATCAATGAACATAATAAAATATAATTATGCATATAGATCCTGGTAGCATTTGTTTATATACATTTTTTTTTTTAATATTGTCTGGAGGGGTTGATTTTTTTCAGTGTGAATGAGATGTTTTTGCACTACAGTAATGTAAGAAGTGAAAATAATGTAACAATGCAAATGGTCCTAAAATATGGATTGTCTTTAAAAAAAATCTTTAAATTTTTAGGTGAATTATGACCATGACATTTCTTGAGGAGCTTCACAAAACTGCAGTTTTAACATATGCTGGTAAAATGTTGTTTTATATAATATGTATTCATCAAAATGTAATACGTTGCTCTGCCTGAAACTTTTTTTTCTGCTATGTCACCTTGTCCATGTTAGCTATTAGTTAATGTTGACAATACTGTAGCGTTTTAGCCATTGTTTTAGGCTACAATATTGTAGCTTTTTTTTTTTTTAAACCAATCTAACTCCATTCTCATATGAAGCTGAAGAAACTGAAAATGAAGGATAGCCTGTTTCCTTTTGAAATGAGAAAAAAAAATTGTATTCTTGACTTTATCATACAAATAGATTCCACCAGACATCGCCATGCTGTTTAACTGCAGCAAGCACAACAACATGGTTTCCTCACATCAGTCGTCTCAGCCAGTAGAACAGCAGGGAGTGTATTCAGATTGGTCTCTTTGGGTTTTGTGAGGCATTGCATAATGTTTTAAATGACTGTAATAAAAGCTTTCCCATCATGAGCTGTATTTCTGAATATCCTCATGGTGGAGTTGAGAATAAACATCTTCAGGCAGTCTGGATTATCTGGTGTTTATCCGTCTGATCGCAATTATTTATAATTATATGTTGCTACATTTTTACCATATTTAAATCCGTTTTAAAGAATTACACAAATCCTGACTGTACTTGCTTGAGAGAGACATCTCTCTCTCACAACAGGAAACCATTTAGTCATATCTTTCATGAATTTAAACATAAAATCAATATGGTTATTATGGGTATGCCTTAAAATAGCAGCGAAGAGAGAAACGGGTAGAAACCCCTTTAATAAGTAATACACATTGTTTGAAATGTTTTATGCATGATGCATTTCATAGTGTAGTCATGCATGTAAGCTTCATCTATTGAAGTAGCATCTGTATGCATGTTTCATGTTCACTGCACACAGTTTTAATCATTGTCAGGAAAATCCTCGTGTTAGTATTACCCTTGCAGTTCTGTGGTGAACAAGACGTTTTTACCCCTGTATGGTGCTTTAGGAGATAATGCATATCTAAAGGAAACTGCATTGATTCTGACAGCTCTGAACAAAGATTGCCTTAGTACATGAGCCAACAGAGCACTGAAAGTGCAATGTGCTGTTATCATTATGTAATTTTAGATTTACCAACTGTCATGCATTTCATGTTCATTTTGTATATTAAAATGATGATGCATTATAAAAGCAATGAAGTTTTTCCCATTTGTTTGGATAGGTACAAAACGAATATGTATGCATAGACGTTTTTACCCCTGTATGGTGCTTTAGGAGATAATGCAGATCTAAAGGAAACTGCACTGATGAACTGCATTGATTCTGACAGCTCTGAACAAAGATTGCCTTAGTACATGAGCCAACAGAGCACTGAAAGTGCAATGTGCTGTTATCATTATGTAATTTTAGATTTACCAACTGTCATGCATTTCATGTTCATTTTGTATATTAAAATGATGATGCATTATAAAAGCAATGAAGTTTTTCCCATTTGTTTGGATAGGTACAAAACGAATATGTATGCATAAAAATGAATGTGTATCTTGATTAATTTTAGGCTAGTCTAGATTAATTTAAATTTAAGTTGTTAAAATGCTTATATTCTAGCTTTATATGCAGAAGCAACTGTGACCTATTCTTTGTGTAATGTAAAAATATTCCTAGTGGCCTGACTTTGGCATACACCAATGGCATGAGATTGAAGGAAATTGTTTGTCCAACTAAATCCAGATGGGTGAAGTGTCCAAGAAACCAAAACCAAAGTCATTATTTGCTCTATGTTTGATCCAATCTTTACTTCTTTATTGCCTCTTTCATCTTTGCATCCATCCATTCCTTATTTTGCCAGCTGTCCTTTTCTGATCCATGTCCGGTCTTGTGTAGTGAAATGAGCCGAGGGTTTGATTGGAGGAACCACAGATGCAGCTGAAATGCAGAAGTAGGCCAGCTCTCCTAAGACTCTGTCTCACTAACTCTTATTTCAATAATATTGATACGACTGCCAAAATGTTATAAAAGCAATATGGGGTGCAATTTATCTATTATATTAAATACAGAGAGAGCACTGTGAATTGGCCAAAGGAGAACATAAAAAGAAAATTTAAAAGGACGGAGTGCTAGATCTAATTAAACTCTAACCCTTATGGATTAACAACTGGCAATATTTCAGCATATGCACATTTGTTTATACGTTTATATGCACATTAGTTTATACGCTTTATTTCAACCACGTGGCAACTATGATCCTATTGGATGGCGCGTTGACACTGAGGTTGTTTTGAATATGTTCTTTTGGGGATACAGCACTCTGAAATCGATGGTAAGTTATAAAAAATGTCATGTGGGATTCATTGGGTTTAAGCAGCGTTTCCCGAAGCCTCCGTGATGAGACGTTTATAACACGACTGGATACAGAAAGCGCCGTTTTTTTCTCTTTAGGGTCTCCTTAAAGGGGTCATATGATGCGATTTCAATTTTTCCTTTCTCTTTGGAGTGTTACAAGCTCTTGGTGCATAAAGAAGATCTGTAAAGTTGCAAAGACTAAAGTCTCAAATCCAAAGAGATATTCTTCATAAAAGTTAAGTCAGCCACGCCTACCTAAAACGGCTCGTTCTAACACACCCCACATGTCTACGTCACGATGTGAGAAGCTGTAACACAAAAAATTATTAGGAATTTTGATAAAATTTTTATGGATTGAAATAGAGGTAGTGTTTATCCATACCCTCCAATACCCTCATTTCAGAAACGAATAGTCGAATCTCACAAAATCAAAAGAAAAGAAATAAATAATTGCATAAAGAAAATGGTGAAATTGCTTTCAGGTGCAAGCAGGGACAGTAGTAGTTGATCGTTAGCTGCAACTTTTTGTTATTTAGTAATTATTTTATTCCTCGGTCACTAATTTCCTTGAATAAAGTGTGCAAGGAATTGTTTCGTAAGTGCAAGGTGTATGCAAAAAGATTGGTTTTCCAGATCATATTATCATTAGTAATGGGGTTTGGAGGAAAGCGATCAGGCATCCTCATGCTACTTTGCCAGATCAGAACAGATTGAAACAATCCAATAGAAAGTAATACATAGAAAATAATCAGATTAAATTCTTGTCATTTCTTGTTCATATGAATACATAACATCTATAGCTTTTAAAGTTAATAAAGTCGAGCTATGGTATATAAATACATCACCAGCATGCACAATATTGTATTATCAAGAATAATGGAGCTGTAATCGTTCTACACTGAGAAACGGTATAATAGGCAAGTGCATTTCATGAGAATAAAAAAAAAAAGAAAGAACAAAAGCAATTTTATGCCAGTGCACTGTCAAAAACTCAAAATAAATTAACTGAATAACAAAAAATAGTCTATGGTACCAGTAATATTAATTGAGTGTATCAAACCAAGTGATTAGGCATTACTTAAAGGTGGTCGTTTTTTTTTTCTGCTAAGCATTGGGCATTTTAGTTTTTTCGTTCTTTTCGTAAATTTCATTTTTCGCCTGACCTATTCTATAGAATAGACCTATAGAACTATTCTTCAGTGCATTAAAATCAAATCAAATTTTTCTCATACAGTGTGGGTCAGGCTTGACAATTTTTGAAACGGCATCCATAATAATAATGATAATAATAACGACTGGAAAACGGTTTTAGCTTTGGACTTAAAAGGCAATACATGTACCAGGGAAGTCGTAACCGTGTTATTTTTGCACACCTAATCAACATTACTGTAACACAGTAGTTTCGTGTGGTTCTGAGGTGAGATGCATACTAACGATGTGTATCATAAATAGCACAGATAACCAGTTCGACGTAAACGACTTTCAAACATTAGTGAGTGCGATTCAGAATCCCTATGAACGTATATATCAGACAAAAACACGACCGTTCAGCCTGTTTGCAAATACCTACTTTTGCGAGGCGACAACATTCAAGTTTTCACTTAAAGATTTTTTTGTCATTTAAGCCCACCTTTGACGCTTTAAAGTACTCTTTACTCACAATATAAATTAATATAAGCAGCTCCGCTTCGTATTTCACTACAAGAACAGTCCCTACGCCAGCGGGTTTAGCGTAACCCTTCAGTCATTTAGAAACGACTGACCTACTGACAAGCTTTTTCCTCAAAGTGTTGAGTCACCGAAAGAGAGGTTTAATTTATTCTTTTTAAGCTACTTCTTAGTTTTTTTGAGACATACCATTCTTTGCAACTAGCATATTTCTCTCAATTGTAATTTTGTGGAAAATAAAGAAAACTGCGCTGCTTTGCTATCAGCAAACGTGGCTGACACAGTTCCATCATGCCCCCTTTTGTGAATTTTTCATGTAACTTATACTTTTTTTGTTTTTCTTTGTTGTGTGAGCACGCGTGTTTTATGTTACGGCCGAGAGGAAAAGGGTCTCAAAGATCTTCTCTTTTCGTCTTCAATGCTTAATTGTTGCCTTCGCCTCCCTCGTCGTCTTGTTGATCGCTCGTCCAGAGCGTCAAGTTGTCTCGCAGGAGCTGCATGATGAGCGTGGAGTCTTTGTAGGAGTCCTCGTTCAGGGTGTCCAGTTCGGCGATCGCGTCGTCGAAAGCCGCCTTGGCCAGATGGCAGGCCTGCTCGGGTGCGTTCTGGATC